TCAGGTCCTGCTGTTTCTTTTCTTTCGCTTTTTTTTGGAGTTGGAGTCTCACTCTGTTGCCCAGGCTGGAGTGCAGTGGCACACTCATGGCCACCCCACCGTCGACGTACTGGGATCTGGCGATCTTTCCGCCTCAGTCTTCCAAGTAGTGTGCACTACAGGTGCACACTTCCACGCCTGGCTATTTTTTGATTTATTGTAGAGACGAGGTCTCACCATGTTGCCCAGGCTGGTCTCGAACCCACGGGCTGAGGTAGTCCTCTCCCCTCGGACTCCCAAAGTGCTGGGATTGCAGGCTTGAGCCACTGCGCCTGGCCTTTCTTTTCTTTTCCTTCTTTTTTTTGAGTTGAGTGGGATGCTCATGGCCACCGCAGTCTCGACCTGGCAGGCTTAGGTGATCCTTCTGCCTCACTTTTCAAGTATCTGGAACTACAGACACACGCCACCACGCTCGGCTGGTTTTTGTGATTTATTGTAGAGACAGGTCTCACCAAGTTGCCCAGGCTGGTCCCGAACCTCCAGGCTCAGGCAGTCCTCTTGCCTTGGCTTCCCAAAGTGTCAGGATGACAGGCTGAGCCACCGTGCCCGGCTACCTGCTGTTTCTAAGGGCCCTCTTTCCTACTCAGTTCAACAAAAATTTAAGTGTCAGACCTTAAATTTGATTGAAATTTCTACAGACTATATGATATATTCCTTGAATTCCTTGGTATAATATGTAAACATAATTTAATATTTTATTGGTAATGTAGTGTCATTATTTTAGACATCATTTAATATAATGTGCTGTAGATATGTGATAACATTTACTCATGATGGTGGATACTCTTTTTGTAATGCATAGGAGGAAATGGAGACTCAAAGAATCTCAGTCAATTTTCCAGTGTTTATGTAGATAGCAGTTGGTGGAGCAAATATTTAATTCTAATTTGTCTGATTCCAAATTTAGTGGTTTAGGTGCCACTCAATAAATGTTAATTAAATTTTGACTTTATAGCTATTAATTAATGATGAGAACTACAACCCTCCCCCCCAACACACAACTCCCCTCTCTCCATATTAATGCTTTCTACTAGATCAGTAAGCTGTTAAGGTGAACTGGGTTTTGAAACACTTCAGGTGATTTTGTGCCCCTGATTTCCCTGGGCCTTAGGTTGAGGGCTGAGCTGGTGTTATAAAAAGATCCACATCACCATCTCTTCACCCCCCGACTCTCTACCTCCCATCCCATGCAATGGCTCATATAAGAAAGAACTTTATTTTTCTCTCTTACTTAACCTAAATTTAGGTGGTAGAAGGAGGATTCTGCTCTAGGAAGTCATAGGATTTCAGGTTAGCAGGGCGGTTATCCCATTAGAAACACATGGTTTCTAAGGATACATCAATGGTAGCCGTTTCCAGTCAGTGAAAAGGGGAAGAATTGAGTGCAGAGCAAGGATCTTTTAAGCAAGTGAAGCAGGAGTTGCAAACATCACTTGTATTCACATTTCATGGGTGAGAACTTTATATAAGGTCCTTGCTGACCACAAAGGAACCTGGGAATTTGAAGTCCAATTGGACAATCATGTGCAAGAAGAATGTAGTATGCAAACAAGGATCTGCCATATCTAGTACATGTATACTATAGTAGAGATGTCTCTCCTACTCCAGTTGAGGTGTGTTGTGGGTAGCTGCTTGCCTTTGTTCACAGATGAAGCACAGATGTACCAGTGAGTATTTGACTTTTTCTCTCCTGTCTTGAAGTATAAAGGTATTTTATCCATTGTCCTAGATTTATCTCTTCTGCCTCTGACCTTAGTTGCTCCTTTTTTAGTGTTATTATTATTATTATTATTATTTTGAGTTGGAGTCTCACTCTGTCACCTAGACTAGAGTGCAGTGGCATGCTCATGGCCACCGCAGCCTTGACCTGCTGTGCTCCGGTTATCCTTCCACCTCAGCCTTCCAAGTAGCTGGAACTACAGGCACGCACTAACACACCCGGCTAATTTTTGATTTATTGTAGAGATGAGGTCTTACCAAGTTGCCTGGGTGGGTCTCGAACCCACGGGCTCAGGCAATCCACTCACCTCGACCTCCCAAAGTGGTGGGATTACAGGCTGAGTCACTAAGCCCAGCCAGTATTATTATTTTCTTTCTTAACTCTGTGTTGCCTGTCATTTCTCTGTGTCATTTCCTGCCTTTTGTAAACATTTCCAACTAATCAGAATAGTCCCTTTCTCCCTTTGAAAAGTCGTTCACTTTGGTGAGCACATGCACCTTTAGGGTTTTTAGTCCTAAAATTGTGTTTGTTGCTGGGTGTTGGAGCTAACTTTGCTGCCAAATAATTTTTTTCCTACTGGGACTCAGAACCCATTGTAGGAACCTAAATCTTGTCTCCAGAGAGCGAGTTTTACAACAATTAAAGATGTTTATCTTCCTAGACTGAAAGTGATTAGTAAGAGATTTAGGAGGAGAACAAGGAAAAGGCAGTACCACAGAAACTGGGAAAGTAGGGGTGGAGAGTTGCAAGATGGAGGGAGTGTTTCATGATACCAAAAGCCTCAGAGAGGTCAAAGAAGATTAAGAACTACAAAGCAAGTTGTTAGTGGCATTAGGTGAGGTTTCCATGGAGTAGTGTGGCAAGATGCCTGATTTTCCTGAATTGAAGAAAAAATGAGAAGGGTGAAGAAGCTGAGTCTAGGCTAGGCATGTTTCAAGAAGTTTGGCTCATTAGGGAAGGAGGAGGGGGATGATGGCAAGAGGAAGGAGGCAGAGTTTGTTGTTTTTAGTTTTTAGATAGGAGAAACTTGAGTGTGTTTTTAGGCTGAAGGAAAAGGAACCGTTGAACAGGAAAAGAGGGGGAAAATCTAAGGGAAGGAGAGGATGAATAATAACTGATGGAACACCTTTTCAGACGAGGTGGGAGGGAATTCTGGGATCAAAGGCAGAAGTGCAAGGCTATTGTGGAGGTACAAATCAGGGCCATCTTTTTTTTCTTTTGAGTCACAGTCTCACTCTGTTGCCTAGGCTAGAGTGCAGTGGCACACTCATGGCCACTGCAGCCTGGGAGTGCTGGGCTTAGGCAGTCCTTCCACCTCAGCCTTCCAAGTAGCTGAAACCCCAGGCACACACTACCACATCCAGCTAATATTTTGATTTTTGTAGAGGCTGGTCTCAAATCTCTGGGCTCAGGCAATCCTCTGGCTTCAGCCTCCCAAAGTGCTGGGATTATAGGCGTGATCCACCACATCCAACTATCAGCTTCGTCTTTATCCATTAGGCACTATAGGCATAGTGCCTGAACTACAAACTCCAATAGGATCTTTGAAAATATTTGAGACCTGAAAAGAATTTATTGACCCTAAAGTATGGATAAATGTTTTAACTACATATCTATAAAGCATAGTATAATGTCACTTTCATTGTTACATTTAATACTAACATTTTAGTATTGTTAGGTTAAAATCCCAGTAGGACTTCTAAAATGTTAGGTCAGGCCCAATGTGGGGAGTGTCTGGTGTCTGTGATCCGGTGCCACATGAAAGATGCAGAGAATTGCACAGAAATTAGATTGGAAAATATAGTTTATTTAGAAAGTAAATTAGAGAGAGGGAAGAGAGAGGAGATTCACCTTCCCAAGGTAGGAGAGGGGGCAAAGCTTAGGAAACATGGCGGCGGCCGTAACTCAGAGAGCACTAGCCACACCAGAGTTTAGTAAAGCAATGGCAAATGACTGCTTGAAGTCTAATGGCTTTTAAACCTTTCCTCTATTGGGGGGTTAGGTCATTAAGATGATTGGGTGGTGGTCTTTTCCATGTCATCACAAAGGGCAGGTAAGCACAGTTACTGACACCAGGTGATGGACAGCAGACAGATGGGTGGGTTAGTCACATGGTTGCTGCCATGGTGATGGAGTCTGTCTGTGTCATGAAGGTCACAAGGGCTGATTAGGTTAACCTGGGTCCTATGGGTGGAGGCAAATACTTGAAATAGAAAAGCTAATTAGTACAAAAGCTGGGGAGGGAGTTGCAAACAATTATCAACAGCTACCTCTGAGAAACCAGTTCTGTCCTTGGCTAGTGATTAGAGGGTAAAGGAAAGTGAACTGCTAGAAAACATGACAGATCTAGGCAATGCTAAATGGCTGCTCATTGGGTATATTGACTCCATGTTATGACCTTTCAACTATATTTGAAAGCAACTTATAGGTAAGATTTTTCTCAAGTAGGCGGAATTCCCAAGTGAGAAATTAGATCCTAAGATGGTCTTAAAATGGCTCTACACGTCATAATTATGTTTGAACAAGAGGTGGAAAGTGAAGGCCATAATTAAACTTAGAAATGGAGCTAGGAGTTGATGTTCTTTACCTGATGACTTCTTTGCCTTTGGGGTAAGAATCACGATTATCTTAGAGTTAGGGAAGCAGAAGTAAAAGGCTTCAAGAGAGCAAAGAAAGTTTGTATTAGGTACTGTGGGAAAGAAGAAAGGAAGCTTAGCCGGGCTCGATGGCTCAGCCTGCAATCCCGTGCCTTTGGGAGGCTGAGGTGTGTGGATTGCCTGAGCCCGGGGGTTCAAGACCCTCCTGGGCAACTTGACGAGACCTCATCTCTACAATAAATCAAAAAACTAGCCGGGAGTGGTAGCGCGCGCCTGTAGTTCCGGCTACTTGGAAGGCTGAGGCGGAAGGATCCCCGGA